TTCACGACGCCTGGGATCCCGAATGTCTTGCGGAGCTGCAGCTCCGTCGGCGCCACCTTGCGGATCGACGCCAGGACGCGCGCCACGGTGGCGGGGGGAACCTGTGGCGATACCCCTCGCCGTTCCCAACCTCGCCAACCTGCAGAACCAGGTCGCCGATCCACGGCGCTGCGCAGATCGGCGACCGAGCGCCGCAAGCCAGATTGTTAGGGACTACGTGCGGTATCTTTGCACGCTGGCACCTTGGCCTGACCAGGTAGCTCCACCGTGTTGTCGGAGATCTTCTCGTAGAGGTTCCAGCCCTGCAGGGCGATCTTGCACGGAGGTGGCGGCCCCGCCTTCGGCACTGGCGCAGCGCCACCTGCGCCGTCAGGGTCCTGCACTGGTAGAACAGCAGCATGAGGCTCGGCGTCAGCAGGCTCGCCTGGCTGGACCACCTCGTCGGGCCCTTGCCCAGGGCTCGGGCCCGCGGGTGCCTCGGCCTCTGGCTCCCACTGGCTCTGGGACGCCATTGCTCGGTCCAAGTTCACCCTAGGACTGACAGTGTAGCCAGCGTATGGCGGTTGGTAGGAGCGCTTGTTTGAACCTCGGGGCTAGGGCGAACTCAACGGTCAGATGCGCACGTATTTGGAGGTTTGCGATAAGCCTCTGGCGGCCTCCCTGGCCATCATCTGGGCCCCATCGGGGCTTCCTCCGAGCCCTGCCAGGCCGCGCTGGGGCCCACTTCGGTTTCTTTAAACACGCGAAGTCACTGCAACTTGGGCAACATCGGGGCCCTCGAGGGTGGAGAGGGGGTGGTACTCTGCGAGAGCGGCCCAAGGCCTCCACGGTAGAAAGCGCATACTTCGGGCGCGTGGCCCCAGAAGGGGGGGGGTAGGGGGGTACTTAGGGCGCGCGGCCCAGGGCCGACAAGTATTACTTTCAGTACTACTTACAAGTCCGCGCGCGAGTGCAGGACTACTTTCAAGACTACTTACTACTCAGAGCGCGCGTCCAGGACTACTTTCAGGACTACTTACTAGTCCGAGCGCGCATGGCATCAAAATCAACTAGTCAAAAACTACTCAAAAACTAGTCTGGCGACTAGTTTTTGACTCAATAACTACTCAAAAACTAGTCGGCGTCAACTCGGCGATAACATCCAGACTAGTTAACTAGTCCTCAACTCGTCGCCGCGCCCTCCGACTAGTCGGCAACTAGTCTGCATCAAGTTGGGCCCCGCGTCAACTAGCCCCCATGGAATCGGCGGCAACTCGGGCGCCAGATGAACTGCTACCCCCGAGCACAGTGGAAACGGCCTGGAGGCCCGCGGCACGGAGGAGGACCAGGAGAATAGGGCTTGCCAAGAGGACGGCCAGGAGAGAGGCTGCAAAGAGGAGGACCAGGGCCCATCTCGGGAGCCATTCCTGACACCACGCCCCCAAGAGGCGCACAGTAACAATCCCACCAGCCCTCTGAGCGTAGGTGTATTAACGAGCTTCCGCTTCCAACCCCTATTTCCCCCCCTTCGGGGAGGGGTTCAACCATCCCCTGACCCCCTCCCCTGGACCTGGACAAGAGGTGCCGCGGGTAGTTAGAGCGTCTAGCAGGGCCCAAGACGGCTCCAAAGGGGCCTCAGAGAGCCCAAGATGAGCTCCAAGATGGCTCAAGACCGCCTAAGATGCCTCAAGATGGCTCCGAAAATGCTCCCAGAGGCCCCGAGACCGTCCCAACGCGGCTCCAAGATGCCAATTAGCTCCCCATGGAGACATCCAAGATGCCAGAATCTTTCAAAAACCTCCGGAACAAACAAATGGTTGTTGCCTTCTCGCCTTTTCGCTTCCAATGGACATCCGAAGCCTCAAGATGACTCCAATGCGGCCCAAGGGGGCCCAAAGATGGGCCCAAGAGAGCCCTGAGACGGCCCCAAGAGCGCCCATGAGCGCTCCAAGAACACCCCAAGAGGTGTGCACGATGCGACTTTTTGGCGTTCTGGAAAGGCAATGGTAATTGAGTGACCCCCCTTCTATGATCGACCTCCTCCAAGATGGCCTCAAGAGCGCCCCTAGAGCTCCCAAGAGCGCCCCCAAGAGGGCCCCAAGAGGCGCCCAGACTGCCCCAAGAAGCCTCCAAGAGTCTCCCAGGAACCCCCTAATAGACCCCCAAGAGGCCTCAAGAGGATCCCCGAGGCACCCAAGAAGCCCCTGGTCCATGACAAGGAGCTGCTGGTGAGCAGTACGGGATGTAATTCTGTCAAATGAATTACATTATTTTCTGCACAAAACGCGATGGTCAAAAATCGGCAAGCTCCAACATACATTGAACATTGGATTTGTGTACGTTCGCATTGTTTTCCAATACTGTCGCGCTTATGGAGCTGCAGCAACGCACATCGCTGTCATGAGTTAGTGGGCCCGAACGGAAAGTTGTCTTCCAATTCCCTGATCCCTCGACCTCCCTCCCTCTCCTCCCTCTTCTATCTGCCTTATCGCCCTCCTCCTCCTCCTAATCCCAACCTTTGCTCCCGCGCTTCCCTGATCACCTCAACTCGCCTGGGCGTCGTTTTCTGAATGGGCTGGTGGGGATACGCGCAATGCGCGAAGCGTCAAAACTTGCATTTTCACAAACCGCTCACACAATGTATGAGCTTCTATGCATTTCCGACGGGCTCCTCGCCTTCGCCAGGCCTACAGTGACGCTCGACCTCTTCCAAGCGAGCAAACTCGGGGCATGCAGCTCTCCATGCCCGCCTCGCAGCCAAGCGGACATGGTGCTCGGGCATGTATAGGCCGTGCGAAAAGCGGCACGGTGCGTTGCTTCTTGCTAGCCACGCGCACAAATACCCGAGAGGCCTGCCTTTTGCAGGGTTCCGTTCCGACTCCCACCTATAATCACCCCTATTCCTAGCACAAGCACCGTGAGGACCTGTGTACCCGCCACTGCAGTATGCATATATGCGTCCTGAGTGTCGATACCACGTGAGCCGACCGCCCAATTCAGGTACATTCACCGAGATGTCACAATCGAACATAGGCCCCCTCCTGCCGAGGCCGCCCCTGCCTGGCCGCGGCGCGGGCGGCGAGGGGGGGCTGGAAGGGGAACCGACCTCTCCACCCTCGCTCCCGCTCTCGCTCCCAGACGGCTCAGTGTCAGTGTCAGCGCCATACTGACTGCCGATCGCAATGTCACTGCAATCAGGCTCCTCGCTGGACCCCCCTGGCTGCTCTTCGCCGCCCTCTTCGGATGCGCCCCAAGGATCAGACTCGCCCTCCCAATGGCCGTCTCGCGAACTGGCCTCCTCTTCCTCCTCGCCCTCCTCATCCTCTTCCTGGGGAGGGGGGGGGGGGGGGGGGGGTCGGCAGGCGCGCGGGCGGCGCTGGCGTCGCCCGAGGCGCGGGTTGACCGCGACGGGCGGACCCCCAGATACAAGGGCGGGCGGGGGTGGGCGGACCAGCTGCATAGGGGCGACGAGTGGAGGGTGCAGGCATGGTCCACCCAATAATTGTGCGCGGGCGGTGCGGGGATATATGGTTGCCAGCCAAGGCTTCTGAAGCTCCTGGCCCGTCCACCGACGACGACGACGACGACGACGTCCGCGGGGCTTCCCAAAAACGCGCCCCACGGCTGCCCAAGAGATGCCCTCAGAGGCTCCATGGAAGCCCCGAATGGGCCCCAAGACTGGCACAGGTGGCCCCGACAGGGCCCCAAGACGGCCCCAAGACGGCACAGGAGTGCTGGCCAACAAGTGTTTTTTGAGAGGGCTTCCCAAAAACACTTCCCACGGCTGCCCAATAGATGACCTCAGAGGCCCCAAGAGGCCCCGAGAGGGCCCCAAGTCTGGCCCAGGTGGCCCCGAGAGGGCACCAAGACGGCCCCAAGACGGCCCAGGAATGCTGGTCAGCAAGTGTGTTTTGAGAGGGCGTCCCAAATACACATCCCACGGCTGCCCAATAGATGCCCTCAGAAGCCCTAAGAGGCTCCGAGAGGGCCCCAAGACTGGCCCAGGGCGGCCGAGAAGGCCCCAAGACTGCCCCAAGACGGCCCAGGAAAGCTGGCCAACAAACGTTTTTCGAGAGGCTTCCCAGAAACACGCCCCACGGCTGCCCAAGAGATGCCCTCAGGGGCTCCATGGAAGCCCCGAATGGGCCCCAAGACTGGCACAGGTGGCCCCGAAAGGGCCCCAAGACGGCCCCAAGACGGCACAGGAGTGCTGGCCAACAAGTGTTTTTTTTGAGAGGGCTCACCAAAAACACTTCCCACGGCTGCCCAATTGATGACCTCAGAGGCCTCAAGAGGCCCCGAGAGGGCCCCAAGTCTGGCCCAGGTGGCCCCGAAAGGGCCCCAAGACGGCCCCAAGACGGCCCAGGAATGATGGTCAACAAGTGTTTTTTGATAGGGCGTCCCAAAAACACTTCCCACGGCTACCCAAGAGATGCCCTCAGAGGCCCCTGGAGGCTCCGAGGGCGCTCCAAGACTTGACCAGGGGGGCTCCGAGGGCCCCAAGACGGCACCAAGATCGGACACTCGAGAGAAGCTTCGCGTGACAGCTCTTGGGGCCCCCATGGGGCCGTCTCGGGGTTCGTTTAGATCCGTCTCGCCCCCCCCCCCCCCCCCTCGGGCCCCTTCCAAAAGCCCCCATGGCGGGCGCGAAGAGGGCCTAAGATGGCTCTCAGGGGCTCCAAGCAATATTGGGCCCTCCTTAGCGTTTCTTTGTGGGGGTGGGGTGGCGGGGTTGGGGCGGGGGGCCTCTGTCACACTGCGTGCTGCTACGCGGAATGCTACTACGCGTCCTTGGCAATGGCAACTCGCCTAGGCATTTTCTCTGGGTGGGCTCGTGGGGATACTCGAAGCGCTACGGATTGCCACTCTGTGTTTATGAAGTTGTTTGCGTGTGTTTGTGTGGCGTTTGAGAGGGTGGGAGGGGGTGGTGGGCGGGGCCCTTGCCGAAAGCCAGCGACTGTCCTCAGCAGGAGGGTCGCAGCCCGAATGGTCCGAGTGGGAATCCTCGGGCGCGTGCCCCATCAGCGGTGGAAGCGGCGGCGGAGGGGGGGCGCCTTCGATTGCATGCGCCCCCCGTGGGCCCCCGCGGTCCGCATCCCTAGCAGCGCCGCCCTGCCCCCGTCGACCCCGACCTCGAGCAGGCAGCGCGAAGACGTGCCCTGGGCGCGGCTTCCACCATACGTAATCGGAAACTCCCCCCTGGTAAGGCAGTGCCCTCTGGAGCGCTGGTGTCACAGACGGCGTGACCCTCTTCCTCTCGCACAAGACATAGAAGGACAGCTCCCATCGGAAGTCGAGGTCGAAGTGCTTATAAAACTTGTACTCGACAATGTAGCTGGACGTCGCCTGGCAACGGCGAGGGCGCGGTTGACGGCCGAGCAACGGGCGGGCAGCGGGGGAGGTATGGGAGTGTTTTGCGAAAACGCCCGTGCGAGGCGGCCCCAGGTAACCTCGAGAGGGCCTCCAGAGGCACCAAGATTGCGCCCAGGGGCTCACTTGGGGCCCACCTGGGGCCACCGCGGTGGCCCCTCGAGCCCCGCCCGATTCGTGGTGGTCGCCCAGCGGAGGCACCAAGGAATTTTCAGATAACTCACAGGAGGGCCCGAGGAACCACACCAGAGGGCCCCAAGAGCCCCTTTCACCACCACCACGCCCCCTCTCCATCAAAAAAACAAAAATCGCAACTCCTGGACGCAATTGTCCCGCATCGGGGGCCTTACCATTGATTCCCCGCACCCCTTCGAGGCCCTCCGAGGCGCTCCCGCATCGGGAAGAGGAGGCGGGAGGATAGGGAGGAATAATAAGGCTGGCAAGCCAGAAAACAGCACCATCACATCAACTGGCACACCAAAAGCGCACTCACACCTGGCAGGCAAAAGTGAACCAGCATCTGACAAGCCCACCATGCACGATCACCTGGCCAGCAAGGCAACTTTGGGCACCACCGCTTGGCAGGCCAAAAACAACACCGACACATAAACTTGCACGCCAAGAGTGCACCATCACCTGGCAGGGCAGGGTGTAGAATCACCTGGCATGCCCAAGATGCATCACCACCTGGGCAGCAAGGCAAACCTTGCCACCGCCACCTCGCAAACAAGAACAGCACCATCACATCGACTGGCACACCAGAAGTGGAGCATCACATGGCAAACCAAATTGCACCCTCATCTTGCATGCCCAAAAAATGCAGCACCACCTGGTCAGCAACGCATGTCATGGCACCACCTCCTGGCATGCCAAAACATCACCATCACATCAACTGCCACACCAAGAGTGAACCCTCTCCTGGCAGGCCAGCTTGCACCGTCACTGTCTCTGAGAAAACTTCGACATGTATCCCGAGAGACACCAGGCAACCTCCCAATGGCTCCCGTTGCCAACGACCCAGGGACGGTGGTGCGCTTGGTTCCCCGAAGCCGTCCAAAGCCAAAAGGTGCCTCCATATAACATCTCAGAGGCTCGCAAGAGCTCCCGAACACTTGAATTGCCTCGCAAGGCCACCCAAGGCGCCCCAGAAGGCCCATATACGAGCAAAAGCAATGGCTTGCAAAACAGCAATCAAGCAAAACAAAAACAGCACCCTCACCGCCTTCCAAAGAAAATCAGTCAGCAAACAAGCGGATGGCCAGACCCTTGGCCCGTGAAGCCTGAGTGGCCGCAATGACCGAGAGTGCTCCCAAGACCCCAGGGTGGTGGCTGTCTGTACCAGGCTAGCATCAAAAGGGCTGCAATATGGCTCAAGTTGGTTGCGCCATAGATTGCGCGCTCGGCGGCCGAAAATGCAACGACCGCCTCGCCCGCGCGAACACTCAGTCCAGAAACTCGAGCAAATCAGCATGGCAAGCCAAAGCACCTCGGGAAACACGGACACTGACCACGCCAGAGAAACCATAGTTGGGCGAGCGAGAAAGAGGAAGGACATTTGTGCAGCCACCACCCGCAATGCACCCCTCCGATCCCCATCCCCGCCCGCCCCGCGGCCTCGAGCTCGATCTCGCCAGTCGTCTCGTCGACCACCTGGACGCCGATCATGCCCTGGTACACGGGCTCGAACGGGTTGAACCTCATGGCCGATATGTGGTCGACGTGCATCATCGTCTCTGGGTCCAATAGCTGCTCCTCTGTGCCCCTGACCCGAACCCCCTTGAAGCACGCGAAGATGCGCCCCTCGCTCAGCAGGTGAACGCGGTCATCAGAGCCGCGGCCGAAATGCCTCCGAAGCGTTCTGTTGACGGCGTTCCGAAACTTGTAGCGCAGCTTCCCATCGGCATCCGTGCACAAACACATGCCCGCCTTCAGACATTTGGGGAACGGCGGCGCGGGGCAACCAATCTTCGGAACTTCGCTATGGTAGATGAGGGAGTGCTTGGTTTGCCAGTGCGTATCTAAAACCTTGCCCACCTGCGACTTCTTCACGTTAGCTGCATCGCTGGAGTGGCCAACATCCCGATGACAAAACTGGCCAACAAGACGAGTCGCCACGTCGACGGAATCGTCGCGATACTCCAGAACTGAAAGGCCATTGCTTGGCACGGCCACGGCGCCATCCAGAGCGGAGGGCGATGTCCCGATCGAGGGGCCCAGCGGTCGCAGGTCAGGACGAGGCGCTTGCGCAGCCCACTCGTGAATGGCTTTGTCCGTGTGGCGGTCCGCCCTGCGAACGATTGCATTTGTTGCCCTCATGGCTTTCCTTGCTGCCAGGATCACTCGGGTGGGGTCAGGCGTCCGTGCGACGATGTAGTTGGCCATGACCTCCGCGTCGTAGTCGTCCCTGAGGGCGCCTGGAATGGCCACCACGGCGACTTGATCATCGCGGCGACGCTTCTCACGGTCAAGTTGTTTTCGGGTCGGGCCGAACGTCCCCTGTCCCCTGTTGATATCCCCACGGTCGATGGCTTGCTTCGCGCTGATGGAGAGCTCCCTGACCTGGCGCTGCTCCCTGTCCGTGAGGGCCCTGTAGGACTGCCCAGAGTTCGCAACCCACCCCCCCTTTTCGTCTCTCTCCGCCATGGTCCCCATGTACGCCTTCCACTCTCCAGGGGCCCGCGTCTTCAGGTTCGGCTCGGCGCCAACATCCCCGCCCCCGATGTCGGCATCGCGCGGCCTCAGCACGCCAGGAAGGAAGTATTTATTCAACATCCGATGGTAAGATAAGCAGAATTCAGCTGAAATCCTCTCCAGAGAGGGCGTGTGCGTTTGAAGCCCCCGCTTCATCACCTGCCTGCGGACGGTGGCATGGAGGCTTTCTATTTTCGCCATGTCAGTGTTCAGCAACAGCGCAATGCATCGCAAACGTTGGTACGCGTCATCAGAGCCGAGGTCGTTCTCGCGAATGAATGCTATGGAGAAGTCGTCCTTTATGCAGTCTGGCTCGTCCCTCAGAATGTCAGCCATCCCCCTGTCGGCCAGGAGCAAGAACAGCCTGAATGGGCACCCCCTCGCGGGCTCGGCCACGAGCAGCTCCATGAGGGCGCCTGCGCGAGATATCATCCTGAACGCAGTTGCACCCGTCTCCTCGCGGTGGGCAGACGCGGGGACTAGAGAGAACAAGTCGGGCTGGTCGAAAAGCTGCGCGAGCTTTTGGAAAAAGCAGTTCTCCAGCAACGTCCGCGCCACTACGACGACCCTGTACGTGCGCCCTTCCACGGCTGGCCCGCCAGAAGACGCAGCCCGCGCTGACCGAACTTCAGCCAGCATCTGCTTTCTCTCCCATTTGTCACCACCCATATATCTCAACGCCATGCGGTGAGCGCGGAGCGGCTCCATCACGAGGCGAGCTATCACGAGGAATGTATCGGGGTCACCCTTCAGGAACGCCAATCCACACTTACGGTGCTTCGCATTCTCGTCGGCGTAGCCACCCTCACGTTCATCATGATTGCTTGATGCGCCTGCCCCTCCCCGTCCGTCGGCAACTGTCAACTGGCGATCTGCGCGCGGGGCTCGATCGGCTGCGCCCTCGCCAGCCCCAGCATCAGAACTGTCATCTCCAGAACATTCTGGGTCCATACCGTCGTCGTCGGCACCCGCAGCTGCGCCGCTGCCCCCAGCTTGCTTGCGCTGCTCGGCTTTTCTGAAAGACGCGACGTAGTCGGGGTAGACATTGGCGAGTAGACCATGCACGATCTCCAGAATGGCGATGTCATCGACAGCCTGGTCGCACCCGTCCCATCTGGATTTCACGTATACAAATGGCTGGCAAGATGCCAAGCCAAACGCCAAACCCTCTGCGATTTCCTTTGACCTCTTGAGCTTGGACCCTGGGCTGTCGAACGGCACGCGGGAATAGTGCTCGATGCATCGATGGTTCCTCCAATCGCCGTTCGCAAAGCAGTTGAGGACCGACAATCTCTTCACAGCGGCCTTCCCGCCTAGGAACACCCGCGCGGCGTTGGCTTTCCACTGGGCCGCGTCAGCTGGGGGGCTTCCCACTCGAAACTCTATGTTCCCAGGCTTCAAGATCCACCGCTTCAAAAACTTCCGAAACCTCGGTAGTTCGCCTCCTAGCCTCAACGACTTGGCCAAATGCGTCATGTTGGTAATAGTCACGTCGACAATCTTAAAAACTGAAACGTGTACAGTAGCGTTAATGTGCATGCGGCAATCCAGCCTGATCGACTTCCACTGGTCACCGCGATCTGCAATGATACCTCGCTCCGCCCTGCCGTTGCCAGAAAACTTGTCCGTGGTTGCCAACCTCGAGCGGCGCTCGAACTGCAAGCACCCGAGCGACGCAGCCGAACTCTGGTCGAGCATGTACTTGATGACATCGCCCGTCATCCTGTCCCCAGCCTGAAGCCACGTAGAACACCCGCCCCTCAACAACGCGTACTCGTAGATATCGCCCCGCCTGATTTTGATTAACATGGCATACGATGACTCGGTCTGCATGACTTTCAAGCGGCTCTCACCAGATCCTCGGAATGATATGGACGCGCCAGCGAGGGCAATGTCCGAGCTAGCTGGCACAATTGACTCGGCCAATGCGTCCGACTCCTCACTGAACATCTGCCGCGCCAACTCCTCGCGAGCCCTCATCGGAAGTGGCGTCTCGTCGTACCTCGATAAGTCGAAATATTCGAGTAGGGTTACGTCACCATGCAACTTGGAACACTGCTTTTCGATGTCAGCCTGCCTGATTCTGTCGACCAGTGTAATTGAAGATGCCAACCTCAAAACAGTCCTCGTCACCTTTTTCCTGTCCACACCAATCGAATCACTCAATGACGCATCTGTAACATGAGATATGACCGAGCCCAATTTGGAAGGTTTGAAGATCTTGGCGCTGACGGCGGCGATCTGGTCATCAATCTCGCCGTCGGAAGCGCCCGCCGACACTGCAATGCACGACCTCATGTGGTCCAAGATGGGGCTGCTAACGAACCGAGTCGGCTTGTTCAAAGCGAGCAATGCCATGGACAGATCGTCCGCAACAGGCGGCACTGCAGATGTCAATCGCCGATCTTTCTGGCTTGGGGTCGCGGTGACGATGTCACCTGGCGGTGGCGGTCGTTTGGGCGGTCGCCCCTTCGGCTTCGGCCTGGGAGGGCCCGCCGCGGCATGGACGTTCACAACCGCGCGGCCAGTGGCAAGGGCATCATGGGCCAGCGCTGCGGCGTCCTCCTCGAGGAGGGCATCCCACTCACCAGCATCGGCTGGCTGCGCCGGCGCCGCCAGGTCCGCCGCAAGGAGATCATCCCACTCCTCGGTACCCCGAGGTAGCCCTGCGACTTCCTCAGCAAGGAGCTCATCCCACTCGCTTGCGCCTGCCATGCAGCGCGTCACATGGCTGTTAGATGAATCCCGCACTGCACTGGCGAAATCGCAGCAACGACAACCAGTGCCAAAATGGTTACGGACTGTGGCGAAACCGACTACCACGAGATGTTATATACTTCATCGCACTCACACCCGCCCTCTGGGCGTGGGTGGTTTGACGGGCTTGTTCGTTTAATTCCTCTCTTCCCCTTGAGGCTCTCCTGGGGGCCTCGGGGGCGCTCTTGGGAGTCCCAGAGGACATGGATCAAAGAAACATAATGTCTTATCCCCCTCCCTTCTGGACGCCGAAACATTGTTTCTTGTGGGCCTCTTGGGAAGTTCTTGAAGCGCCCTCGGGCGCTCCTGGAGCCACCTTAGAGCTATTGTGGGTGCCTCTCGGGACATTCTTGGGCGATCTTGGAGCAATTTGAAGCAAGGTCCCATCCAGTTTTGGCGGGTTTTAGCTTTTCGAGGGCGTCTTTGAGAGGCTCAGTTGCCACTGAGAGCCACCCTGGGGCGATCGTCGGGCCGCTTGGAGACATGTTGGAAGCTATGTCGGGCCATAGTCTGGACATCCTGAGCGATCTTGGATTCCATCGTGGGCTATATGGCGCCCTACTTGGACCATCTTGGGCCATCTTGGACGCCCCAGTGCTTCGCCAACACCCCCCCCGCTTCCTGGCGCAGGGTGAGGGGGGGGGAATGGGGGAATGGCATATCATTCCCCGAGGGGAGCCCCAACAGGGCCCCAAGAAGGCCCCAAGAACCCCAGAGGCTTCCAACATGGACTCGATATGTATTCACAAGATCTTCCCGATGTTTCATGTCACCAATGTAGGCGTCCTTGCTTCGCAGTGTGACAACCTACGCCCCTCCTCCAAAGCAGCCCCAAAGTATCATTCCTAGATGGGCTGGTGGGGATGCGCGAAGCATCAAAAATAGCCAACAATATAATGGACACGCGCGTGCGCCCAAGGATTCCTACACTGTTGTCACGCGCCCCCTCAGAGCTACCATCACCTGGGCGTCGTTAACATGAACCCCGCCTGTCTGATCGGAGTCTTGCTCATATGTACCAACAGCGCACGCTGTATACAGACGTCGGAGTTTGCTACATCAACTGGTGTCGCACAAACGCCGAGCCACAGCTGGCATAGAAATAATTGTTGAACCAGACACGATGCCTCTCCCCACCATTGAGAACGAGGTACGTGCATGACTAGATCACAAATCACAATAGCATAGACTACTAAATTTCAAAATTTCAGGTGTTTGTTCGAAGTAGTTTCGGGACTAGTTGAACGCACGTTGAAAGATTTCGACTAGTTCATCGAACTAGTTTCGGGACTAGTGTTTGACTACTTCAATTATTTCTCCCCAACCACCTCCCTCTGGAGCGCTGCTCATCTCAATCCTCCTCCTCCTCCTCCTCCTCCTCTCCTCCTCCTCCTCCTCCTCCTCCTCCTAGCCTCCTCCCCCTGGACACGCGCCTCCTCCTCCTCCTCCTCCTCCTGTTCCTCCGCGCCCCCTCATAGCTACCATCACCTGGGCGTCGTTAACATGAACCCCGCCTGTCTGATCGGAGTCTTGCTCATATGTACCAACAGCGCACGCTGTATACAGACGTCGGAGTTTGCTACATCAACTGGTGTCGCACAAACGCCGAGCCACAGCTGGCATAGAAATAATTGTTGAACCAGACACGATGCCTCTCCCCACCATTGAGAACGAGGTACGTGCATGACTAGATCACAAATCACAATAGCACAGACTACTAAATTTCAAAATTTCAGGTGTTTGTTCGAAGTAGTTTCGGGACTAGTTGAACGCACGTTGAAAGATTTCGACTAGTTCATCGAACTAGTTTCGGGACTAGTGTTTGGCTACTTCAATTATTTCTCCCCAACCACCTCCCTCTGGAGCGCTGCTCATCTCAAGGAGGAGGAGGACGAGCAGGAGGAGGAGGAGGAGGAGGAGGAGGCGGAGGCGGAGGCGGAGGAGGAGGAGGAGGAGGAGGAGGAGGAGGAGGAGGAGGAGGAGATCAGCAGCATCCATCATCATCACATCATCATCATCATCATCATCATCAAGCCTCAAAAAAATCTCACCAATCATCATCGTCATCATCACATCACCACCACCACCACCATCATCATCATCATCGTCATAATCATCATCATCATCATCATCATCATCATCATCATCATCCTCATCATCATCATCATCAGCATCCTCATCGTCCTCATCATCATCATCATCATCATCATCATCAGCATCATCATCATCATCATCATCATCGCCGTCGTCATCATGATCAGCATCAGCATCATCATCATCATCATCACCATCATCATCATCATCAACACCATCGTCATCAGCATCATCAGCATCCTCATCATCATCATCATCATCATCATCATCAGCAGCAGCAGCATCATCAGTATCATCAGCATCAGTAGCATCATCATCATCATCATCATCATCATCATCATCAGTATCATCATCATCATCATCATCAGCATCATCATCATCATCATCATCATCATCAGCATCATCATCATCATCATCGTCCTCATCCTCGTTCTCCTCCACCCTCCTCCTCCTCCTCCTCCTCCTCCTCCTCCTCCTCCTCCTCCTCCTCCTCCTCCTCCTCCTCCCCCTGCCCCTCCTCTCCTCCTCCCCCTCCCCATCCAACTCCTCAATCCTCGTCTCCTCCTCCTCCACCACCCTCCAACTACTCCTCCTCCTCCTCCTCCTCCTCCTCCTCCTCTCCTCCTCCTCCTCCTGCTCCTGCGCCTCCTCCTCCTCCTCCTCCTCCTCATCCTCCTATTCCTCCTCCTCCTCCTCCTCATCATCCTGATCCTCATCCTGCTCGTCCTCCTCGCTGTCCCTCTTGTCCTCCTTGTGTCCTCCTTGTCATCCTTGTCATCCTTGTCCTCCTTGTTTTCCTCCTCCTCCTCGTCCTCCTCGTCTTCCTCCTCTTTATGCTCATCATCATTATCACCACCACCACCACCACAACCATCGTCATCATCAGCATCATCATCATCATCATCATCATCATCATCAGCATCAACATCATCATCATCATCATCAGTTTCGCCATCATCATCATCATCAGCAGCATCAGCATCATCATCATCATCATCAGCATCATCATCAGCAGCATCATCAGCATCATCATCATCATCAGTATCATCATCATCATAATCATCATCATTATCATCATCATCATCATCATCCTCATCATCATCATCATCATCATCAGCATCAGCATCGTCATCATCATCATCATCAGCATCATCATCATCAGCATCATCATCCTCATCCTCGTCCTCATCCTCGTCCTCCTCCACCCTCCTCCTCATCCTCCTCCTCCTCCTCCTCATCCTCCTCCTCTTCTCTCCTCATCCTCCTCCTCCTCCTCCTCCTCCTCCTCCTCCTCCTCCCCCTCCTCCTCCTACACCGCCCCTCTCCCTCCTCCTCCTCCTCGTCCTCCTCCTCCTCCTCCTCCTCCTCCTCCTCCTCCTCCTCATCCACCCTCCTCCTCCTCCTCCTCCTCCTCCTCCTCCTCCTCCCTCCTCCTCCTCCTCCTGCTCCTCCTCCTCCTCTCCTCCTCCCTCCTCCTCCTCCTCCTCCTCCTCCTCCTCCTCCTCCTCCTCCTCCTCCTCCTCCTCATCCTCCTCATCCTCATCTTGCTCGTCCTCCTCGTTGTCCTCCTTGTCCTCCTTGTGTCCCCCTTGTCCTCCTTGTCATCCTTGTCCTCCTTGTGTTCCTCATCTTCCTCGTCCTCCACTTCTTCCTCCTCCTTATGCTCATCATCATTATCACCACCACCACCACCACAACCATCGTCATCATCATCATCATCATCATCATCATCAGCAGCAGCAGCATCATCATCATCATCATCATCATCATCATCATCATCAGCATCAGCATCATCATCCATCATCATCATCCAATCCACCATCATCATCATCATCATCATCATCACATCATCACCATCACCATCATCATCATCATCAGCATCATCATCATCATCATCATCATCATCATCATCATCATCATCATCATCATCATCATCATCTTCATCATCATCCTCATCCTCATCATCATCATAATCATAATCAGCATCATCATCATCAGCATCATCAGCATCATCAGCATCATCAGCATCATCATCATCATCATAATCATCATCACCATCATCAGCACAATCATCAGCATCATCATCATCATCATCATCACCTTCATCATCATCATCATCATCATCATCATCATGTTCATCATCATCAGCAGCAGCATCATCTTGATGGCCATCAACATCATCACCGTTATCATCATCAGCATCATCATCATCATCATCCTCGTCATCATCAGCATCATCAGCATCATCAGCATCATCATCAGCATCGTCATCATCATCGTCATCATCATCATCATCATCATCTTCATCATCATCAGCAGCAGCATCATCTTGATGACCATCAACATCATCACCGTTATCATCATCAGCATCATCATAATCATCATCCTCGTCATCATCAGCATCATCAGCATCATCAGCATCATCATCAGCATCATCAGCATCAGCATCAGCATCAGCATCAGCATCATCATCATCATCAGCATCATCATCATCCCCCCCTCCTCCTCCTCCTCCTCCTCCTCCTCCTCCTCCTCCTCCTCCTCCTCCTCCTCCTTTTTCTCCTCCTCTTCCTCTTCGCCGAATCCGCGGCACCATCACCAGACCCACTATGGGTCTGGTGTCCACGGGGACCAGGCGCATCGGAAATGGATTCCCAGGATGCGTCTATCCGCGACAACCCGCCCAGATGCCGGCGACAGGACGCACACACAAAAAAAACATGATCGACCCACGAACCCGGAAAGGAACATAGAAATGTAGCGCATGGCAACGTTTTCAAAGACACCTGATTGGGTGACGGGCATGTGCAATGCTGATTGTATCGATCTTGATGTACCGTGCCGAGGGCTGTGCTGTGCTGCAC